ACATAAGGTTTTGTAGTTGCTACTGGAAGTAAAATTTGTTACTTTATAGTGTAAGAATGTATGGAATCGCATGTCAACATTTCTTAATACTGACTCTAGGGGCATAAATGCAGATCATATCAACACCAAGTTGATTCTCATGTGTCAAATATATGTGAATTCAGCTGTTAAATTACTGGATATTTATCTTAAACAACATTACTGAGAGGGACCTACTGTAAATGTGACATCCTCACACTTCCCAAACCTTTAACTTTTAAGAATCTTCCCATAAGCTTAAAACCTAGAAGACTTACAAAGCAAGGGTTATAAGAGTCTTTATTCTCAGGCTCAGTGAATTAAACCCAGGACTCTGATTTCATGACATGGGCACAAGAAGCCAGTTGTATGGCGTGCTCTACCAGTACTTTGGGCTTAGAGGCTCTCGGGGGAACTGCATCAACCGGGAGGAATTTGATCTGGAGCCTGGTTATTAGTTCTGTGAAATGCTCATTTGTAGCCAGGTTTTATAACCTTCCAGTTCTATAGCAAAACCAGGCTCTGAGTGTTTCCGAATCTCCCATCTGTTCATGAAGTGTTTTTTGTCCTGATCCCATGACCACCAAGTTAAAGGTTGATAAGGACTTCCTACAGTCTAAACACAATCTGAAGCCCTCTGCGTTGTTCTGACTCCAACTCCTCCTGCTGATGAACAGAAAAGAAGTTACTGCAGAGGAGATGTATGTCTTAGCCATAACTCCTGTTGTACAACTCAGTAGCCCCCGTGCTCTTTTACGGTTCAAAATGTACTGCTGACCTTGGGTTTGTTTTGATTTTTTTCCTGTTAGGATTATTTGGGGATTTTGGTAGTTTAAACTCTTTAACCTTTTCCTTGCTGTGTATGAGGAAAGCTAAAGCTGTTATCAACTTTGTATTCTACGGATACTAACACGGGTTTTCAGTGTTTGTTTGTTTTTATTATTATTAATTTTGCGTGATGTGAATACCCTCTCCCATCAATATTTGTATTATGGTGCTATATATTTGGTAATGATCCTTTACTATTGGGAAGGGATTTTAAAAATACTGTGATTAAACTGGGTTTCTTCCTTTGATTTTCATATTTTAAATAAAGCCACAATCATTTATACAAAAGAAAAGCATCTGTCCCTGGGCAAATCTTTTGAGGACAGAGATCAAAGTAAACTGCATAAGGTTTTTACATCATTTCTGTATGTATTTGATATATAGATCAATATCTGTACAAATTTAATCTTTTATTTTCTTGGTAACTTGTGATCATTGAGAAAGTATTTGAAACTTTCTCATGAAGTGTATATAATGGCGTGAAAAATTCCTTCAGAGAAATTTATGTTCCTTTCATTTTTACCAAATTGCAAATTTTCAGCATGGATGTGAAAAGCATTAAAATTATAACTTTGTGTACAAGATGAAAATAATTCACTAAATTTGCCCTTTTTTACACAAAATAAAATGTTAAAGTTAAGTTGTATTTGAGCAGTTCTTTAATATGCTTTGGTCTTTGAGGGGTTTCATTTTTATTCAAAATACTGATGAGTGCCTTCGATAAGCAATTGAAGGCCCCTGTGCAAGTCCTCACAGAACCTGTAATCTAGTGAAGTAAAGCAAGCACGTGAGCGAGGAAGAATTTATTAGCTGACAAGGGAGGACGAGAATAAGGGTGGATATAAGGACATGGTTGCATTGGAGCTGGGATTCCACGGACAGAGAGTAAAAAGGCAAAACCCACAGCAGGAGCATAGGTGAGCGTGGACCACCGGTGGGGAAATTAAGTCACTTTAGCTAGAACGTGGTGTTGAGGGTTGGCGTGCTTGCTGGGAAACTTTGGGTTTTTTAGCTCCTTTAACCTCAGCAGCAGACAAAGTCCGTAAGATATAAATGAGTTATCCCAGCTAGCTCTTGCTGTTTACTTTAAGAGGGAAGGCAAAGATGCCCTTCTTTACCAACAACTGCCTCTGGAAACTTATTCAACTTTTACTGAAAAAGCAGTTTGTAGAGAATTTTATGGATATAAGATAGTAATGAGATGGATTGGGTCTCTTCCGGGGTTAATTTCATCACACTTTAGAAAAATGTAATGCATTCCAAGAGAATCAAAAATAGAACCTAGTTTCTGCCCTGCTTCCTACTTGAACTGTTGCTCTCGTAAGTTGGAATTGCCAGGTTGGCCCCCATTTACTACATGAGCTTTGATAGATAGATTCTTCTTTAAACCACTACATGCCAGTTGGGAAACTAGTTTCCTAGTGTGCTTTATGCCCAAAATATGTTTTAAGAGTAACAGGTGTTCCCCTAAAGTAAGTAACTTTTTAGCGCTGTGATGTTTCTTCAGCCTTGTGAGATAGGGAGAACAGTAAACTGTTTCCTTTTTACAGACTGTTACTGAGAATTCCAAGCCTCAGAAGCAGGCCAAAATAGGGCTTGCCTGTTGACAACAAACAATTAGGTAAAAAGTAATGCATTTTATTTATGTTTTTGGGTGAGGAAGATCAGCCCTGAGCTAACATCTGTTGCCAATCCTCCTCTTTGCTGAGGAAGATTGGCCCTGGGCTAACATCTGTGCCCACCTTCCTCTATATGTGGGATGCTGCCACAACATGGCTTGACAAGCGGTGTGCAGGTCCGCCCCCGGGATGCAACACTCGAACCCTGGGCAGCCGCCACAGAAGCGGAGCACAGAAACTTAATCACTACGCCACCAGGCCAGCCCCAAGTAATGCATCTTAAATTATGCGGTTACTATGTATGTGGTTACTAGGTGTTCAAAAAAAGTCTTTATTGAAAGCATTAAAGGTTCTGAGTGAGTTGTCCATTTCCACACGCCTCGCCTCGCTGATAGAAAGGAGTAGGTCCAAGACCCAACCTTACTCCAGAGGCAGGACTTGTTTTTTGGTGAGGAAGATCAGCCCTGAGCTAACATCCATGCCAATCCTCCTCTTTTTTCTGAGGGAGACTGGCCCTGAGCTAATATCCATGCCCATCTTCCTCCACTTTATATGGGACGCTGCCACAGCATGGCTTGACAAGTGGTGCATCGGTGCGCGCCCGAGATCCAAACCCGAAAACCCCAGGCGGCCAAAGGGGAGTGCACACACTTAACCGCTGCGCCACCAGGCCGGCCGAGGACTTTGAATCTCACCATTGTGTATCCTTTCACGTTCATGTCTCCCCCCAGTAAGTCCTAACATCCATATCCTTCCTCTCTGCTCTCACCACTCCACATTTGACTTCACTTAACCCTCCAAACTCACAACTTGCTGATGTCACTTGGAAAACTCTATTAAGGCAGTAAAGCATAGTGGCTAAGAGCATGGAGTCTGAAACCAGCTGCCTGCATTGGAACCTGACTCCTTCACTTGTTAGCCCTGTAAATTGGCTCCGTTTCCTCAGTTGTGAAACAGGGATACTAGTACCAACCTCCTAAGAGTTGTGAAGAGTAAATGAATTCCTGTAGGTAATGTTCTTAGAAGGGGCCTGGCACAGAGCAAGCCTGTACTTAAGTGCTGCTGCTAATCCAGGTGCCTCAGCCAGTGTGCACAGGATCACCCAGGGGCACGTTACAATGCAAGTCCCCAGGCCTGCCCCAGAATCTGTCATTTTCATAATCAAACTTTACTTCTACTTAATTTAGTGAAAGCATCTAGCATATATAAACATATGAGATTAAATTTGAAATTGAAAAATTTGTAAATTTTTTTTTTTTTCCTGGGAGACCATTGATTCAGAGCTAGGGACTTCGCCTGTTCCTGCTGCTCTGGGATGCGTCAGCACTCTCGGGTTTTGTTTTGTTTTGTGAGGAAGATCAGCCCTGAGCTAACATCCATGCTAATCCTCCTCTTTTTGCTGAGGAAGACCGGCTCTGAGCTAACATCTATTGCCAATCCTCCTCCTCTTTTTTTCCCCAAAGCCCCAGTAGATAGTTGTATGTCATAGTTGCACATCCTTCTAGTTGCTGTATGTGGGACGCGGCCTCAGCATGGCCGGAGAAGCAGTGCATTGGTGCGCGCCCGGGATCCAAACCCCAGGCCGCCAGTAGTGGAGCGCGCGCACTTAACCACTAAGCCACGGGGCCAGCCCTATGAATTGTTAAATTTCTTGTCAATTGGTAACTTGAAACTAAATTCCTGACACGTTTTTCTACCAAGCTGTCAATATATTTAAGTCATTGTCCTGTAGTACAGCAATATGCATAAAAAAATGCAATATTCAGTCTTTCATATGGAAGTGGCATATAAAGCTTTCACCAGCTTCCTAACAAAAAACAGCTATTCGTAAACCCACACATTTCCGTAATCTCCAATTTTTAAGCCAGACACCAGGTGATAGTGATAAACTATATTGATAGGTGCTCTTTGGCATCATTTTAGAACTGTGCCAATCCAGCAAAATTGACCTTAAACCAGGCAATATGAATTTTGTAACTACTCACTGCTTCTAGCCCAGGAAACAGGTGAGATAACTATCTCATGCCAGGGAAGCGAGTAGGAAGGGGATAGGGTTTTGAGGAATATCTGTATACCAGCTGGGCCAGGGTTAACTACTCTATATCCATTATCTCGTTGAACCCTGCATTGCAGTGGTATTACCTCATTTTACAACTATCTTTAGGCTTCTGTTTCCTCATACATAACCTGCCCAATTTGCAGTCCACAAAGATGTAAATCTGGACCATTTGACTAGTCTATGTTTCACTGTCAAGTTTCAACAAATTCTTTGTACGGAAATACACATTTCTACATCAGCTAACGCGGCTGGGATGTTTATTATTTTTAGTCTCCTTAGATGCACAACCGGTGCCACACCTGTCCTCTTCCTCACTGCTTTCCCTCCTAGAGTCTGGAGGTATACTCAGGTGCTGAGAAGGATCAAATCATTCTTCCATAATAAGCAGGATTAGTTAGTTCCGGATAATGCTACGATAGCCAGGGAACCAAGTCACTTCTTCCAGTTTAGTAGCAAGCAAGCACAGGAGGCTGCACCCAGTTTCCAAAGGCTTTATTGGTAAACATGCTTTAGAAAAGAAAGATGGATCCTCTTGCTTCCAAGTCAGTGGAACGAAGAGCTGTGTCCAGGGACACGTCAAGCTGTGCCCGCGGGGACTGATGCCTTGTCCACCTTACTCGTAGATCCAGTCAAAAGCACAAGACTTGTAGTCAACCAATTCTTCAGGCTTAAACCATAGGCTGATTTCTTTCTCAGCACTTTTTACTGAATCACTGCCATGAATGATGTTCCTATGAAAGAGAACCATTACTAGTTACATTTTATTTCTTTCTTTTTTGTGAGGAAGATCAGCACTGAGCTAACATCTGATGCCAATCCTCCTCTTTTTGCTGAGGAAGATTGGCCCTGAGCTACCATCCGTGCCCATCTTCCTCTACTTTACATGAGACGCTGCCACAGCATGGCCTGACAAGTGGTGCGTCGGTGCACGCCCGGGATCTGAACCCGCCAACACCAGGCCGCCGCAGCAGAGCGCACGCACTTAACCGCTTGCGCCACCAGGCCGGCCCCACTAGTTACATTTTAAAGTACAAAAGTCTATTTAACGGATAAAGCCAAGGAGAGCCACTGCAGACCTTTTCAGCCAAATTTCCACTTGAAGCAGGAGACTACCCCCAAAGTATTTCCTCTGAAAAGCAGTTATAAAACTATAAAAGTAACTGATCAAAAGCATCCCTTGGGGGGCCGGCCCTGTGGTGTAGCAGTTAAGTGAGCGCGCTCCGCTGCTGGCAGCGCGGGTTCGGATCCTGGGCGCGCACCAATGCACTGCTTGTCAGGCCATGCTGTGGCGGCATCCCACATAAAGCGGAGGAAGATCGGCACAGATGTTAGCCCAGGGCCAGTCTTCCTCAGCAAAAAGAGGAGGATTGGCATGGATGTTAGCTCAGGGCTGATCTTCCTCACAAAAAAAAAAGCATCCCTTGGTTCAACTTTTCTATGCTTCCAAGTTTTCAAAACAGTGCTTATACCCCAAGATTGCTGTGCCACAAAACATTCCTCCTCAAATTTGAAAAAATATAGGAAGAGCCAGACCAACCCCAAACTAGATGAGATATATTCATTAGCAAGGGCCACTTCTGCTGCATTTTCTTACAACACTAATTTGCAAAGCCCAACCAAGACATGCTTATTGACAATGCCTTTATTTCATTTGAATCTCAAAGCTCTGTAAAGTTCCTGTACAGATTTTGTACAGGTGAGGGAACCAAAGGGTTAAGTGACACACTCGTGGACGTAGCAACACCAAGGGCAGGGCAGCGCTGAGGCTAGAACCCCTCCTTTTGCCCCACTCTGTGCTTTCTATCGTGTCACACAGGACCTACCACATGCAGCTCCCTGTGCAGCACCTGAGTTAAAATTTTAAATAGCCTAGGGAAGTAACTGTTGAAGAAAGCTTTCATCCAATGATAATTACCACCTAACTTAAAAGTTCAAATTTTTTCTGAAATTGGGATATAACAAAAATGTGGCTTGGAGGAAAAGTCATCAGTACCCCTCAGGACTTACCTGCCAACTTGAATGCAGAAGTCCCCTCGAATGGTGCCCGGCTTAGAATCTGCTGGATTGGTCTCCCCAAGCATCACTCGCCCTGTCTTCACCACATTCAGCCCCTCCCAGACCTTGACAGTAGGGAAAAGGAAGTGCATAGGATCTGGCATCCAGGACAATTAGGAACAAATGTTTACCCTACCTAACAGCACACAGGAGACTAACCATTGACATGATTGTCAGCTAACCCCAGTAGGTACTACAGGCCTATATAAAATACTCCAAACTCCACCCAGTGTATCGCTAGGATACAGAGAAAGTCTACCCAACTTCGGGACTTCCCAGTCTAGCCGGGAGGAAGATTAACAAGACTGAGGAATCCTGATGCAGCCACCAACACTGAGAAGAAACAGTGATGAAAGGGTAGAGAAAAGGGATCAGACTGGAACAGGATCAGTGGGAAGGGCAGCCCAGAGGACTGTTAGAGCAAGAGACAGCAAAGACTGACAGGAAAGGGGAAAGTGTATCCAGGGAAGAGCAGGAAGGAGAAAAGGTAACCCTCAGGGAACAGGAAGGAGGTGTGCTTTCTCAACAACTGCAGTGCCTCCCCACCATACCCTCCACTTCTATTCTCTTCGTTCCCAATTAGCCATTAATGCCACAGGAGCAAACAGACTGCTTGTCTCCAGCACTGGATTACAGAGGACTTTCTCCAAGGTCTGATTCCCCTTCCTTTTTCCTCCCAGCCTCCTAGTTGCTCCGTTAACTATGTAACTCCAGGAGGCTCCATTTCTAAAACAAGAAACTTGGTAGCTAGGGAAGATGTCTAAAAGAGGGACAGGCAGGCAGTGAGCAAGCCCAGTTATATATCAGCCCTTACTTTCCTGGTTCCCCCTCGTCCCCGACAAGCACTTACCATGGCCACAATGGGCCCCGAGTTCATGTACTTCACCAGCCCGGGGTAGAACGGGCGGTCTTTCAGGTCAATGTAGTGCTGCTTCAGGAGTTCCTCAGAGGCCTGGCATTGAAGACGAGGTACCAGTGAGGAAGTAAACTGGAAAGGCTCAAATATGGCTCCATCCCATCCTCAGAATCCCCCATTAACGTAGTAGATTCTCTAAAAGTCCTGTGGTGTATTTTAGCCCACATTCACAAGTATATAAAAAAATAAAAACCCCAGGGGCTGGCCCAGCGGCTGCAGCGGTTAAGTGCACACACTCTGCTTCCGCGGCCATGTTCTCAGGTTCGGATCCCGGGCGCGCACAGATGCACTGCTCGTCAAGCCATGCTGTGGCAGTGTCCCACATAAAGTAGAGGAAGACAGGTATGGAAGTTAGCCCAGGGCCAATCTTCCTCAGCAAAAATGAGGATTGGCGTCAGCTCTTAGCTCAGGGCTGATATTCTTCACAAAAAAAAAAAAAAAAAAAAATCCCATCCAAACCATGAAACCGATGGTATCTTAGCAGAAAGATTGTTCTGATCAATGAAGACATGCTCATAATGTCAATGACGTTACGGATGTTATAATCCTGAAAAGCAGGTGGTTTGAGGATCTAGATTTAGGGAGTTAAGTGTTGGCTGCAATTGAAGGAAATAAATATGCCAGACAGAGGTCATAGCAAACTCCTCTGGCCTAGGCACAACGCCCTTTTAAACATTTCAGATGTTCACTGAGAACGCTCTCCTCTTCACTGACGAGCCTGCTTAAAATTTCGGTGCTTATATATCTGTGCCCCAAATTTAACGTGGAAAATACAGTAAGTGCCCCACGCCGGAGTCTGCAGAGGAAGGGACACCCCACCTAAACTTCAATCATCTCAGAGCTGCAAAGCTCAACCACAAGGGACCCCAAGACTCCATTCCGTGCACGTGCAGCCCCGCGTGGGCCAAGGGAAGGGGCCCGGGGGCAGGCTCTCCTCACTCCCTGCTACCCCCAGGGGGCGACGCCTGGGCAGGTGGCGGCCCACGGTCCGCAGCCGCGGGAAGGAAGCCAGCCCCGAGCAGGAGTCACGGTACCTCCGCTTAACCTTCCCAAGGGCGTCTGTCCCCCGGAGCCCTGGGAGAGGATCATTGGGCCCGAGGGCAGAGAGGAGAGGGCAAAGGGGCTCTCGCGGGGGCAACATTAGCAAACAGGGACCCTGACTCGGAAAAGAGACGCGACGAGCCGCTGCCGGGAAGGAAAAACTCCCGCGACCCTGCTACCGAGGGGGACGGGGAGAGGGGGCGTTACGTGAAGTAACTTCATGGCCACGAGGCGGAATCCCTTCTGCTCGAAGCGCTTGATGATCTCGCCCACTAGGCTGCGCTGCACGCCGTCCGGCTTGATGGCGATGAAGGTGCGCTCCGTGTTGGCCATGGTCCTGCGGGCGGGGGGGTCGGCTCAGGTGCCGCGCGGGGTCCAGGATCCGCAGCCCGCGAGGCCACGTGGGCGCCCCCCCTCCCGGCCGCGCCCGCCC